CCCAGACAGAAATTCCATGGCCACCCTTCCTGCCAACTCGCGGGGGCAACTAGAGGTTTACAGCCAGGGTGCTAGGAAGACAAAGGCTGGATCCAGGTCGCAGGAAGTTCCAACTAGCTTTGCTGTTTACTCAGCAAGAACCTGAAGCTCAACCAACTCGGGCAGTGGCTGAAGTGACACTGTGCAGCCTACAGGCCTATGCAAGGATGGCTTTCCCCACATGCTGCCACAGACCAGGGGAGGGGGGTGATATGGAGGTCCGTGGGTTGTCCACTAGCACATGGGGGCAGAAGATACCTGTTTCTTCATCCCCTCTTCCCCACCCCCGAGGTTCCTGTCTTATGTTTCACAAAGCCTCTCAGGAGACAGCCAATTCAGTAACTCATCCCTCAGCTGCCTCCCACCTTCTGTTTCACTCTCAAACAACAAACTCATATACAAGCATTCCCATCAAGCTCTGCTTTTGGAAGGGCTTCCCTGGTAGCTCAGTTGGTAAAGAATCCACCTGCAATGCAGGAGACCCCAGTTCAATTCCTGGGTCGGGAAGATCCCCTGGAGAAGGGATAGGCTACCCACCCTAGTATTCTTGAGCTTCGCTAGTGGCTCAGCTGGTAAAGAATCTACCTGTAATCTGGAAGACCTGGGTTCGATCCCTGGGTTTGGAAGATCTCCTGGAGAAGGGCAAGGCTACCCACTCCAGTATTCTGACCTGGAGAATTCCATATACTCTATAGTCCATGGGGTCACAAAGAGTCGGACATGACTGAGCGACTTTCACTTCACTTCTGCTTTTGGAAGAACCCAGGCTAAGGCACTCCGGAACCTTCCAGATATCACTGGACTTCTGAAAATGGCTCCCTAGGGCACAGCGGAGTGGGTTTCCTCCATCCTTGCTCATGTTTTTCTCAAATGTGAACCTTTCTATCATAACCAAGCAGGCATTAACTCTGAGACAGGTTCTTGGCACACCCGGCCAGAAGAAGGAGGAGAAAATGATCCATCTACCCACACCGAGAAGGCATGGCAAGTGAATTCTTCTCACCAAGTTTCATTTTGTCAATTCACTAGAACCCATATTGTGGGAGGGCCACTGACTCACCATGTAAAAATGGGAAGAGTGGTTTCATCAGAAGTGGGATGTTTCACACACTTCTTACGTATACACATCAGGACACAACGTGGGGTGACGTGGTTTGCCTTACATCTAATTGTCCTCAATTTGATACTGAGATTTTTAACCAAATATAGCAAAGAGGCTTCGATTGAGAATCTAGCTTCTCTTCTCAGGCAGATGATGCGTGAGAGTTAGGGAGGGGGATAGAGAAGTGGGGGAGAATGGGAATAGAGTTAAAATAAACCTGAAAGGAAAGAGCAGAATTCTCAAACAAGGAGGGGAGGAAAACCTCATCTATATCTTTCATCTGATGCCTGAATCTGACCATAATGCCTTTTGAAGTGATATATGAAACATCTAGAAATATGTATGTCATGGGCAGGGAGGGAGGTTGAGTTTTGTCTGGGATATGAGAAATAAGATTACAAATAGTGAAGAAAAAAAGAGTAGCATTTAGTTTTCCATACTCATCACAGATCTAAAAGTCACATTTTAATCTAAAGACTTTGTTGTGATTATAACATTATCATTTTTCCATATAAAAAATGTAAAGACTAAAACAAACAAAAAATATTTTGGAGGTTTTTGTAAGGTATGATCAAAAGAAAATTTTTTCTCCCTGCCTTCTCCCCTGAAGCAGGGGCTATCACTTTTCCAGGAGCCTGGATATCAAGTCCCAGAGCATCTTGGAGTCTGGCTAGAATCATGTGCTTTGCAAATCCCACTCCTAAGTGTTTACTCAAGAGAAATGAAAATTTCCACTCACAAGAAAACCTGTACACATATGTTCATGCATCTTTATTCCTAAACCCCCAAACTGGGTACCCCAAATATTCTTCAACTAGTGAATGGAAACCAACGTGGTACATCCATACAATGTACTGATAATAGTACTCATCCACAAAAAAAAAAAAAGGAACCAACAGCAGATATACGCAGCAATACAAGAAGGAATCTCACATGCACTTTACTAAGTCAAACAAGCCAATTTCCAAGGGCTATATGGTTCCATTTATTCTGGAAAAGGCAAAATGGACAGAAAACAGATTATTGGATGCCCAGAGCTACTGGTGAATGGAAGGAAGGGACTGACTACAAAGGGGCACCCGGGGAATTTTTGAGGTTGATTTAGCCACTCTAAATGTTGGTTGTGGCCATAGTTTTACAACTGTACGCATTTGTCAATGCTCGTAGAATTGTACACTACTAAAAAGGGTAAGTTCCCATTTTTTTTTTAGTATATGACAAACCTAGATAGCATATTAAAAAGCAGAGACATTACTTTGCCAACAAAGGTCCGTCTGGTCAAAGCTATGGTTTTTCCAGTGGTCATGTATGGATGTGAGAGTTGGACTGTGAAGAAAGCTGAACACCGAAAAATTGATGATTTTGAACTGTGATATTAGAGAAGACTCTTGAGAGTCCCTTGGACTGCAAGGAGATCCAACCAGTCCATCCTAAAGGAGATCAGTCCTGGGATTCATTGGAAGGACTGATGCTGAAGCTGAAACTCCAGTACTTTGGCCACCTCATGTGAAGAGTAGACTCATTGGAAAAGACCCTGATGCTGGGAGGGATTGGGGGCAGAAGGAGAAGGGGACGACAGAGGATGAGATGGTTGGATGGCATCACCGACTCGATGGACATGAGTTTGAGTGAACTCTGGGAGTTTGTGATGGACAGGGAGGCCTGGCGTGCTGCAATTCATGGGGTCGCAAAGAGTCGGACATGACTGAGCAACTAAACTGAACTGAAAAAGAGTAAATTTTACTGTATGTAAATTATTGTTGTTTAGTCACTAAGTCACATCTGACTCTTTTGCGACCCCAACTTAAAAAAAAAAGACATGAAGTGTGGAGTCCTCAGCCTAGGAAAGAACCTCAGGTCCACCACTTTATTTTGTGTGACCTTGGACAAGTTACTTAAGTTTTCTGGGTCTCGGTTTCCTCATCTGTACTTGAGGGTTCAATAGGTCCCACTTCACGAGTCTGTTACAAGGATTCAGTGAGTAAACACATAGCCTGACACCCACTCAGCATCCGATCTCATGATGACCATTCAGCCAAGAATCACTGCATAAAGTCCCTTTCCACTGGATCCAGATAGCTCTTCACCACCCCAGGCCCCCCATCACTTACCCTCTGTCCAGCCTGGACTCCTGGGGAAAAACTGATGCCATCCCTTAGAACACTGGGAAGCAAGGGCTAGAATTTGGTATTACTGAAACCTGGCTTTGAATGCCAGCCAAAAAGCTGGCATCTCGGGGGGTTTCAAAACCTCTCTCCCGCAGCCACTAGCTGTGCCCCTCAGCAGAGCCAGTGAGCTCATAAAAGCCATGGCAGGCAGAAGATGCATGTGCTCTTGCCCCTGGGTTTGGGAATGGCAACCCACTTCAGTATTCTTGCCTGGAGAATTCCATGGGCAGAGGAACCTGGCAGGCTATAGCCCGTAGGGTCATAAAGAATCAGACACGACTGAAGCACACAAGCGTTGTTTGACCTCAGGTTCTAACACTTTTCTTTCTTTAGCTGTGTGTGTGTGAGAAAGAGAGAAAAAGAGTAAGAGATCCTCCTAGCTAAAACTTTCTATTGCGTGTTAATGAAATCCTACTACTCAATTAAACTCTTTCAAAGAAACTTAGTAGATTTTCCTAGCAGTCCAGTGCTTAAGACTCTACACTTCCCCTGCAGGGGACACAGGTTCGACCCCTAGTTGGGGAACTAAAATCCCACATGCCACACAGTGTGGCTAAAAAATTTTTTAAAGATTTTCCTTAGTGAGGAAGTTCTACAGGTCACTCCATTCACTACATTAAGTAACAAGATGTGCTGTGCTTAGTCGCTCAGTCGTGTCTGACTCTTTGCAACCCCAAGGACTGTAGCCCACCAGGCTCCTCTGTCCATGGGGATTCTCCAGGCAAGAATACTGGAGCATATTGCCATGCCCTCCTCTACGGGATCTTCCCAATCCAGGGATCCAATCCAGGCCTCCCGCACTGCAGGCGGATTCTTTACCATCTGAGCCACAAGGGAGGCCCTTAACAAGATGAATCCCCTCTAAAGAGATTTTTATTGATTAAGATCAATTAGGATGGAGTTCAGGGAGTGGACTGCACTGCGGGCAGGGTCTGAGTGTGTATTCGTTCATTCACAGAGGCAGTCACACAACAAGCATGCAGGCAGCAGCACGTCTATGCTAGGGTCCCCTGTTTGGAGGGGTTGGGGCTGGGGTGCAAGACAGAGTCATACCCCTCCTTCCCAACTCCACCCCTGCGTGTACACAGGGGCAGCTACAGACACCTCAGTCCTTGGGGTCCTGGGTTTCTCTGCTCTCATTGTTAAGGCCCACTCCAGACCCATCCCAGATCCAAGACGAGAGTGGTGTTGCTGCCCTACAGAAGAGGAATGTTTTAAGGTTACCATTCCCTTCCCCAGGGGATCTTCCCAACCTAGGGATCGAATCCAGGTCTCCTGCATTGCAGGCAGATTCTTTACCATCCAAGCCACCAGGGAAGCCCATCTTTTTTAACAGCAATGGCTAATTTACAAGTTTCCTTTTCTTTTACTGCCTTCGAACTACTTGTGATGGACTAGAGAGATACACAGCCCCTCAGATGGGTCGGGGAAGTAAGGGGTGAGCATAAGAGGGCAATTGCTACTTATAAATTTTTTATTCCTTAAAAAAATTTTTTTAATGTAAATGGTCCTAAATGATGTCAGGATGCTAGGAGTTCATATTCATGAATTACAATATACCCTGCACTTTTCATAGGTTTGAAATATTTCTTAATAATTTTTTAAAGACATACTTCCTTCTTTTTTAAGTAACTGAAACTGTGGTGTGGGGCATTCTTTTTTTATCATATAAATGATATTTCTGTGTTTACCTGAGTAATCAATCCTTCCATGCTGATTCTTTTGTCTCTCGGTCTCTGTCTCTCCTTCTCTCTGTCTCTTTCTGTCTCTCTCTCCCCCCCAAAAGTTCTATGGGATGCTGACTAAACAGCTTTGATGTTCAAACTGACTTATGAGTTAAATCCTAACCGCCAGAAGCACGGTTACTTCAGTTCCTTTAAACGCTTCCTACTGGCGGGTCAGCTGTACCTCGGAATTCCCAGGGGTCCCGGGCTTCCTGCTGATGGTGCAGCTTTGAGCTCTCTTTGCTCAAGGACAGGTTTGGGAGAGAACTCTCCTTAGCTGGGCTGGAAACAAGAAAAGGACTACATTTCAAAGGAAAGGGCGAGGGGAGGGGTGGATCAGCCTCGCCTCAAAGGCTAAAAATAATCCAGCTTTGTAGACTTCTTCCTGCAATTAGCCTGGGCCGGAAATGGGGAGGGGGGGAGACAGGGTAGGACCTTGGCATTCTGTTAAGTGTGTGCTGGTCAGAAAAGAGTTAAACTGGGATCCTCCATCCCAGGTTTTCTCCCAAATCAGCCTCTTACAACTAGAGATCATCACTCATCTCTTGGATAGTAAATGAAATTATTAATAGGAGAAACCGGGTGGTGTTCTATCCATCTGTCCTGCCATTAAGAGGAAAACATAGGCAGGCTGGAGATGCAAGGCAGCCTCCCTGAGCCTGTATACTCAGCACCCCTGAGCCTGGGCACCTGGCATCTCCAGGCACAGAATCTCATCCCAGTAAGGGGTTTGAGGGCTAATGAAAATCCAACGCTCTCTTTCTCTATAGAGGGTTTCATGACAAAAGAAATAATGGACAGGAACTGCTTTCAGCCTCCTCGAGAAAATCCAAGTGATGTTCCAGGCTCTTTGGGTCAGATGCAAGCTGCCCCTTTAGCCAATCATGGATTTTTCTCTTCACTGGGTTTCATTTACTCCTGGAGTGTAAACTTTCTCATGAGACAAGGACTCCTTACTGTACAGGAGGCTTCTCCCCGACACATATCTGGGTGTTTGTAAACCTGTCCGATATTCTCTCCAGGACGACTTCCTTTACCAACAAAAGTTAGAGACATCCAGGAAGCCCAATAAGCTGGCAGGCACTGGGGAATGTGAAAGCTACAACCTGGACAAAGATTCTGTGCTTGTCTGAACCTCAGTCACGATCCTGAACTGTGCACTTCCTTGTAACATCCAGTTTTGGCAGGAACCCTGCTAAGTCAAGTTTAACCAGAACGCTCCCCACACTCGACATCTTATAGGGCCCCTCATCCTCTACCATCCCCAGGTGATGCCTGGTCACCCTGGTATATCTTCAGGAAGAATCCTATGAGGTCATTTGGCCAGAATCCCCATCACCCTTGATGTTTCCCGATAGTAAATTTTCATCCGCTGACCTCCATTCTGCTCCCTGGCTTTAAATTCCCATTTACCCATGCTGTATTTTGAGTTGAGCCCAATCTCTCTCCCCAACTATAAAACCCCATTGCAGTGGTCCCTATAACTGTCATGATGGAACTGAAGAAAGTCTGCCTCACCATCGTTAAGAAGCATCACTGAGTATTTTTTCTTTTTTCTTTAATAGTCTCCTCCTGGATCCCTGGGGCAGACATCCTTCCCAGGAATGATAGGCAAGGAGAATTTTCTGCTCTTTTGGATCCACCAGGTAAATGAACTACCTCCCTACAAACTAGTTCTTCTTCAGTGAGATGACCCGTGTGTGGAACCCCACACCACAATTGACTCCAGTAATTCTTCAACATGAGAATCTCACTTAGGAGGGCTCAAGGCTGCCATATAGTCAATTTCCCTTTTCTTGGTGAAAATGCCACCCCCACTGGTTTTAAAGATGTATCAACAATCCCAGTCTCCCCAACCCAGTATCAATGCTAAAAGTTTACCAGGACCTCTTCTGCTACAGAAACATGTCAGCTTTTACATGGGGATGGCGCTGAATAAGGACAGTTCATGCAACTTTTAAAAAATTGAGCCTAATTTATTTATTATTTGTGGCTGCACCGAGTCTTTGTTGCTTTGCACAGGCTTTTTCTAGTTGCGGTAAGTGGGGGCTACCCTCTAGTTGCAGTGCAGAGACCTCTCATTGTAGTGGCTTCTTTTGTTGAGTACAGGCTCTAGGCGCATGGGTTTAGTAGTTGTGGTGTGGTCTCAGTTGCCCCATGGCATGTGGAATCTTCCCAGACCAGGAAATGAACCCATGTCCCCTACATCAGCAAGTGGATTCCTAACCATAACGTCACCAGTGAAGTCCCTCTGTGCAACTTCTGAACGAGGTAAGAAGGCCGTCGTCTGGATATGAATGCAAAAAACTGGCAGGTTTCTCCCCTTAAATTTCTAAACATACTCCTTTGAATTACTTAGAAGGAATGTGAAGCGCCAACATCTTTTGAGGGTTTTCCCATCACCAGGCCGTGTGCTCAGCCTTTGCAGAGATTATCTCATTTAATCCCTCCATTTACAAGGGTGGGACTAAAGTTTTAACAGGGACATGAAATGTTCCATGGTCCCTCTAGCTTCACTAGTGGAGCTGGGATTAGAGCACCTGTCTCTTAGCTCTGCATCTGGGTCTCCCAACCATGACCTCCAGAAGGGCCCTTGTTGAGATGCAAGTGGTCCAGCGTGGCAAGTATACAAGAATAAACACTGGGATGATGCAGGAGATAGATGGGCCCTGGGCTGAGCTGCTGGTGTTTGTCCCCTGTGGGCAGATACTCCAAGATAGAGGAGGAGGAGCTGAGCCCTGCCCCAATAAGAGCCCATATATATCTCATTCTCAAAGTCAAGGAAGCCTCCCCAACTCTGCATGCGCAGGAAGGCTCTTTGGAGGTGAAAGGCAGAGTGATGTCAACCTATCAATAGGCCTCTTCGCTAGAATCCATCTTGGCTAAGAGATACATGCACACACATGGAAGGACCATCAGATAAACCAAATACAGACTCAGAACCAGACAAAGCAAGATGATTGGCCAAAGGAAACCCCAAAGAAATGTCCCATATAAGTAATTCAAACTACCACAAGATCATGACTCTCTGAGCCTGCCTGTGTGTCCATCCACATGTACTCCTTTTCCCTGTAATAAACATTTTACTTGTTTCACTATGTTCCATTTCTTCATGGAAATTCATTTTTTCTGCAAAGCTGTAAAGGCCAGGGCCTTGTCATTGGCTACTGGTCTGGTGGTTAGGAAATCCTGCTTCAAGACACTGCAGGTCAAGGCCACCCAAGATCAGGAAGACGTGTGCTTAAACCTCTAAGTCACCTCCGAACTTTTTATGTGATTGTGAGGAATAGTACAACCTCTCCTGGCCTCAGAGATGAAAACAGGAAATAATGGTATTAGGTCAGCTTCCTTCACAAGGGTGGTGGATGGGTTTTACTGCTAATCTCTAAGGGAGGCCGAAAGGGGTTAGGCAACACAGAAGGGAAGTTATCAAGATTCCTCAGGCTTGCCATGCTTCATAGAAAGCATCCCTTGGCCCCACTGTATTCCCCTTCTAGATGGTACCTAGGAGACCAACCCTCCCCACAGCCTTCCTGGGTTCAGTAGACAAAACGGAGTTTGGCAGGGAAACAACAAACTTGAAATGGGCCACTTAGACCCTCTTTCCCAGATCTCAGAGGCATCATTTTCATCTCAAGGGAAGTCATAGGGGGCCACTTTTCTGGGTGCTGGAGGCAACAAAGAGGAAAAGACTTTGAGGGCCTAGCAACACAGCCACTATCTTTGAAACAGTCCAAACAGATAGATGTCTGAGGCAGATCCTGAAGAGGCCTCATAACTGGCATCACACATCTTTGATGTTTGATCTATCTCTTTTTAAATATATGCAATGTTTTCATTCTAGTCCTACCATGTCCACTTATCTTAATAAAAAAATACTTGCGAAGATGTCCCTGGTGATCCAGGGGTTAAGAATCTGTGCTCCCAATGCAGGGGGCACAGTTTGATCCCTGAATAGGGATCTAAGATCCTGCATGCTGCACAGTGCAACCAAAAAATAAATTAATTAATTTAAAAAAATACTTTGGATTATTTAGTCAAACTACTTCTCTTTCCCTCTAAAACCTTGAGTAGCAGTATCAATTTTTGAGCACAGTGCTAGAGACTTGACAGACATCATCTCATTTGAGCCTCACCAGAACCCCAATAGGAAAATACAACTACCCCTCCCCCTGCACAGATGGGAAAACCGTTCTCCATGTCACTGCTGCTGCCACCATGCACGGGCAGAGGCATTTAGCCTGTGGTCCTCTTTCCTTGGGTATTAGGGATGAATGCCTTCCCCTCATTAAGAGTCTTTGTAAATAAAGTCATCTTTTAAATAAAAGGATATGTGAGAATTATCAATATTACCCTAAACATAATTTCCTCAAACTATCCACTTCTCTAAGATTAAAGAGCCCCTCCCTCATCTTCAAAAAGCCTGAAACAGAAAATTGCCTTGGGTATTGCATTATTTCAGGTAAAGATTCAATTTAATGCAGTGATTGAGCTGCTCGGATTCAAAGCATGGATATAGGAGTTACAAATCCCTACTAAGCCATCCCCCCTCGTGTGATCTTGAGCTAATCATTTACTCTCAGTTTCAGTTATTCACCCATAAATTGAAGATAATAATAGGATTCATCCTATTATTGGGTTGTGGGGAGGATTCAATGTGCTAACACACACACACACAAACAGTGTATCACAAAGTAAGTGATCCATAAACGTCAGATGTTTTTCTCATTAAAGAGATTTTTGGATGGAGATTGCTTTAAGCAACTCCTTTTAGTCAACAATGCCTAAAACCACACTTCTAAGAGTGGGTAATAGACTGTCATTGATTTCAAATTCATCTTCAGATCTACTGACATTTGACTGTGAAAATGTGATCCCTGAAGCAATGTCTGGAGCTATGAGTGTGGCAGTGGGTGTGGCTGTGAAGTCTACTGACTTCTCTCACCCAGTTGGACTTCTTTAGGAATCTGAAATCCATTTACAGGCAAGAACAAATCTACAAAGGGACCAGTTGCCTAAAATGTGGTGATCCCCCTGAGACCATGTCAGTTTCGACTTAAAAATAAATTCACAACCTAAAAGTTGAATTATGTTATATTTGGTGGGAATGTTTAGGGCTTCGAGCCCAAGAGGTAGCATCTCAAGTAACCCAGAGAGAACTGCTCTGAGGAGGTGGGGGTTGGGGGGGGGTGGGTAAGCCAGGATATATAACTTTGAAATAAAGGGCAAATAGTCCGTCAAAAAATTATTGTTAATCAAAGAAAACCAGATATCTCAAGCTAAGGACTTTAGCATCATTCTATGTATGGGAAGGTGCAAGAGTCTGGGCTCACTGAAATCATTCCTTTGATGTGCACCTCAGCCAGCTCTCAGGAGCCAGTATCCTTCATTTTCACATCCTGAGTTTTCTCAGGGCTCACCTTAGGGAGTGGCTGCAACCTAATAGCTGCTAGATTGCAGGCCATATTCCATTTATTATCAGCACTAAGCCTTGGTGGCCACAGGTGAATGAGAGCACAATGGCCTTGCTCAGGTGGTGACCCTAATCACCCTCAACCCAGGCTGAACTGTCAGTGTCTGCACCCTGCTCCCCTCCAGCCTATAGTTTCATCTCTCTGCTGGACCAAGAACTCACAGAGACAGGGCCATACAGACTTCAGTGGTGGGTACACTAACTCTGACACATGGTACATGTCCTGTAAATTCTTTCAGAATGAATTCATGGGAGACTGTAAAATTCTCTCCACTCTTTCCTAGGAAATATCTGTGTAACCAGTGCCAGTCCTGTGGCCTGTATATATGGGTCAAAACAAGAGCCTTACAGGTCTTGCAGCCTTCTTTTCCCAGATCTGGTTCATACAGTTGCCTTTCAGCTAAGCATAACCTCAGAAAAAATCAGATCATTCAGGCACAATCTTTATATTCTTTATGTATTTTTAAATATTTGTTTCTATTTATTTATTTGGTTGCACAGGGTCTTAGTTGCAGCTGGTGGGATCCAGCTCCCTGACAAGGGATCGAACCTGGGACCCCTGCATTGGGAGAGTGGAGTCTTAGACACTGGACCACCTGGGAAATCCCTATGTATTTTTTTTATTTTAATTACATAAGTAACTTAGTCTCCCTGGTATTATCTTTCTCAAATGTTTCTTTAGCTGGACTAATTTAGACTAGTGAAAGAGATTATCTGTTTTATGTTGATTCCATTAGCTTTGCTTTCTTGATCTAGTTTCTAAATTAGGAGAAAGATGGGGAAGAGGCACTTTTCCACAGCCTTCTAGAGTTCAACCTCAGGAGAGGACATAGGAGTTATGACTGTTCTCCCAACACTCTCGTTAGGGAGTGTTCCTGTCTCCTCACTCTGATCCTATATATGAAGACAGCAGAGAAGTAACGCACCAAATGAACTTAATAAGAGCTTCCCTCCATGGACTTCATGGAGCCTGAATCCCCTGCCCATAAATAGATTAGTCTAGTGTCCTGACAGAGACCCTGGATTTATCATCATTGACCCTGCCTCTTACTGACTGTGACATTTTAGATAACTATCTAACTTCCCTAGGCCTCAATTCTTCATTTATAAAAGCAGGAGCAGCCTCCAAAAAAATAATAATAATAATAATTTTTAGTGTTCTCTGTAATACTAAAGTCTGGATTGCCCTCCACAAACACAAGGAATGATTAGTCTCCCTGGAAAATGTCTTAACATCCCCACAGCATGAGCTGGTGGGAGGTTTTAAGAACAAAACTTCCTAGGGAAAGAGAGAAGCTGCCAGCAGATCACAGATCATGCTCAGAATAAAAAAAGAGGCTGCAGAACTCCCAGAACTGTCTCCCCAAACCTTCGTGGAGACATGAGACTGTCTCCCTGAAAGTTGCCTTTCCCATGGGAATGAATAGAAGCTGCTGTTGTCCTGAAGTCATACCAATGGAAACCTTTGGCTTCAACTAGAAGCACCTAATATATTAACTAATGTAAGAACTGGCCCCATCTGAAGGCAGAATATGTCCAGAGTTGCCTAAAGAACTAATAGTACACCCTGTGCTCTATAATCCAAGGCTGTTTTGGGTCTTAGTAATTATAAGTACAGTTAAAAAAGAAAAAAAATCAATGCGCTCAGCAGCTAGAAGTCATTAGAGTTACTCAAAATTTCCTTCAACGTATGTAGCCGTTGGTTCTGTTGGAGGCTGGGTATGGCATTCGGGCCTTGTGCAGACACAAAACTACTCAGCCAGCAGACAAAACAGGAAGCTCCAATCATCCAATCAAGAGACCATGAAAATATGGGTCATAAATCTCTGATTCTTCCACCACTCACCAAGGACACAGTCTGGCCATCTTCTGACCTTGCTGATGGCAGCTTTGGGGAGTTGAGACGGCCCGGGACCACTTTCCCTCCTCTTTCTCTTAGTTGTACCCTAAGATTGTGGTGCACAAATATCAGAGAACTTTCTTTTTCTTACAAAAAAGGGGTCCATTTTTCTCAGAGTTACCTGAGAAGTTTTTACCAGTTTAATGCCTCAGCCTTAATCCTGAAAAGGCTCCATCTCAGAACTCTCTTTGCCTTTGGCCATGAGCAAGCTCCTGAGATCCCCCTGTAAGTTTTGCCCTGCCCTCCGGTGCTATGAGGGTTGGAGGTCACAGGAGCAGGGTCTGCCTCTAAATCTGCGCTCGCCGAGGGTCAGTTCTATGGCTGGGGCTCCCTGCAATGAACTGGTAGGGCATGGGGAGGAGGCTGTGTTCTCCCGGGTGGTGACTGGCATGCTGTTCCAGGCCCCTCAGCCTCTATCCTGGCACCACTGGGTCTGAGGAGATCAATAGCTCAGCACCCACAACTCATTCCAGCAGATCAGTTGGGAAGCTCTGCTGTAGAGCCTCTGCCCTCTAACCCACGGTTTCCTCATCTGCAAAATGGAAGCATGACACCAACCACACTGGGTGGTTGAGCCCATGAGATTATTATGGAGGCAAAGTGCTCGGTACAGTGCCTGGCACACAGCGGGCAGTCACCAATGCTGGTGCTTTCTCCTTGCCCCCTCCTCCATTTTGAAGTCCACTGCTAAGGCATGTAAGAACCATCTGATTTTCCAACTCTCAAA